CACAAGGTCAGTAACAGGAGAGATCTAAGGGTCATGGAAAGGATTTCAAGAGAAGCAGCATCTTGCATTAGATCTGACCTAACACTAGGTTTCAGCACTTGGTCTCCTGAAGACAGACTCACAGACTTTCAGGCCAGAAGGGACCATCATGATCTGGTCTCACTTCCTGCACATCGCATGTCACCAGAGCCTCACGCACCCCTGTAATAGGCAAATAACCTCTGGCTGAGATATTGAAGTCCTCAAATCTTGATTTAAAGATGTCGAGTTACAGTGAATACACCATTTACTCTAGCTGAAACCAGCAAGTGACTCATTCCCCATGCTGCAGAGGAAGGGGGAAAATGCTCAGGGTCTCTGCCAATCTGACCTGGGAATTTATTCCTTCCTGACTGTCCTAGCACCTAGGACAGGTCTTCACTGCAGCATTAATCTGAGTTATCTACGTTTGAGTCAGCCTTGCTTGAGTCAGACCTGACACACTCCAAGATAACACATGAGGCGAGTCTACGCTGGTGCTGTACTCACTCCTATGTGTTGCTAGGACTTCTGGGAGGTGCATTCCATGGATCTTTGTACTGCACTAAGCTGTACTGCTCCATGAATTCTCTCTCAGTGAATTGTAGGAAAACTTGTCTGTCCTGTCTGGACATGTAGGGGGAAATATGGAAAAGCACTGGAGGACGAGCAGTATTCACCTGTGTCCACCCTACAGAGTAGCTGTGTAAGCTGCCAACTAGTAGTGCTCACTCATGTAGTAGCTTATCTCCCCGCAATTGCCCAGCCTACCCGAGTTAAAAACACCATGTCACCCAAGCATTGTGTGTGTGGATGGGATTGGAGTTGGGGTAACTCGAGTTATAATTCAGCTTAAATCAGTGAAGCCAAGCCCCGAAAGTGAGAAGCCACATTCCCTAAATTGCTTTACGCATCAAAAAAGTCACTACTGCAAGTGGCAGGGAGAGCACCTAAAGCCAGGTCTTGGCAGGTTTAAAAAAAAAAAAAAAGGAAATAATCTATAATTAGTTTATTACACTGTTTAGCTGAAAGTGTCAAGTCAATTTGTGGTTTAGAGTTGTTGTTTACAGAATACTTCCCTCTTCATTACCAGGTCACTTCTTGACCATCACAGGTAGGCTTTGAACAGAGAGCTCAGCCCTGTCGCATGAGAGAGCTTATTTCCTTAGGAACTGCTTTTAGATGAGAGTTTCTGAAAAGACGGCTTTTTAATGCGTGTATTTGTCTTTACTCATGCTCAGGAATCCCTGAAAGAAACTGAAACCAGAACCGGTACATTATTCTCTAGGCTTTGCTGGAATTTAAGTATCTTGGAGGAAACAGGAAGTGTTTTTATGGAGGATGGTTTGAAGAGACCTGGTATTGGCTCATTCTCAGTCTGTCTGGCCTTGTTTTTCAAAGTTTCTGGAGTTCACAGGCATCTGAGCGGACACAATGTTTACTTCCCTCTCCTTTATTTTCCTGTAGCACCCCCCCCCCCTTTTTCTTGTTTTTTAAATTCTGCTGAAAAAATGTCACATCATGTCCTTTCCATGAACTGGCTGACATGTTGCCTACTCTCATGATATGTATCACAAGTCTTGTGATATCAGGTAGGTATTGTTTTAAACCCCATATGAACCTCCGCTCTTTTTGTTTTGTTTTTTTTTAAATGTAAAAGAAGTTTCTAGCCATCACAATTACAGAGAAAAGCTTGGAAGTGTGAAGCAACTGCACACTAGAGTCTGAAAGACAAAAGATGATAAAGGAAAAAACAAACAAACCCCCCCACACCCATCAAAAGACTCCCCACCCCCTACCCCCACTAAAATGTGTGTTATTTATAATTATTTTGGTAAGCTTGAGGTTGGCAACACTGCGAATGAAATTAATTGATTCTAAGGCCAGAAGGCACCATTAAATCATGTGTTGACCACCTGCATAACCCTGGCCATAGATTTCATCTAGTTCCCCCTGTACTGAGCTCGATAACTTGTGTTTGGCTAACAGGTTTTCCAGAAAAGCATCCAGTCTTAATCTGAAGACACCAAGGGATGGAAGATCCATTACTTCCATTGGTGTTTTGTTCCAATGGTTAATCACCCTCACGGTTAAAAATTTGTGCTTTTTTAAAATTGGAGTTGTTTTGGTTTTACCTTCCTGCCATTGGTTCTTGTTAGATCATTCTCTGCAAGTTTAAAGAGCTCTTTCTTACCCAGTATTTTCTCCGCATAAAGATATTTGTGCATTTTAAATAAGTCACCTCTTGATCCTCTTTTAGATCAAGTGTAGCAAATGAAGCTCTTTAAATCTCTTGCTCCAACATATTTTTTGTAGCCCTCAAATCATGTGTGTGTCTGTCTCTGTATCCTTTCCAGTTTCTCAATATAGCTTTTATAATGTGGACACCAGAACTGGACACAATATTCCAGTTTCAGTCTCTCCAATGCGGTAGTCAGAAGTTTAGAAAAACAAAGCCACCACACACCATTCTTTTCCTTCTCACTACTCCCCTCTAGGTCATGTTCCTCTGTACCAGACATGGACCAGCCACAGAGCTTACTTATAGCCACACCAGATGTGTTCATCACAAGATCCTTTAATGCTGTGCCAGCTACGGCTGAGTTAGTTTAAATAAAGTATTTTACACATTTCCATCTAATAGCTGAACAGTATAATCCACTCTAGCAGCCATTACACAATCCATTTTGACAGGTTTCAGAGGAACAGCCGTGTTAGTCTGTATTCGCAAAAAGAAAAGGAGTACTTGTGGCACCTTAGAGACTAACCAATTTATTTGAGCATGAGCTTTCGTGAGCTACAGCTCACTTCATCAGATGCATACCGTGGAAACTGCAGCAGACTTTATATATACACAGAGAATATGAAACAATACCTCCTCCCACCCCACTGTCCTGCTGGTAATAGCTTATCTAAAGTGATCAACAGGTGGGCCATTTCCAATGGACCCAGTTCCGAAATGATCTGCACTACTCTGTAGGACTACCTTCTCCTCATTGTTATTGATGTGGAAATGATATGTGGGCTTTGAGTCTTGCGCTGTTACTGCACTGAAGTGTCAGAATAGGATAACAAATATTTTAATTTGCCTTTCCTTTTAGTATGGTGCTGTTCTGCCTTTCCTTTATTACAGAACAGTTCCATTGGGGAATGAAGGGTTTGTTTATTTTTCCAGAGAAAGATCCTCTATTTCTTGCATTTGTTATTTTTCCTATATGTATCTGAATTACAGTAGCACTTTGGGGCCCCATTGTGCTAGGCGCTGTACACAGAGTTATAGACCGTCCCTAACCCAGACATAAGGTAAAAAGATAGACTAAGAAGTCCAGTTCTGATTTCTAATCTATATCTTATTGCTTCACTCCTTGGGTTATACAAGAAGCTTGGATGATTTACTGTGAAACCTGTTTTGAAAAACAAAACAAATAAAAGGCAGCGCAGGAAAAACTGACTAGATAACAATTTCTCTCACTGAATCATCACACGCTCACACATGCTTTTTTCTTTCATTCAGTTCTGCCGCTGTTTACATGCGGATTCACAGTCTAACGTAACTGAAAGCAGAATTGGGCATCAGAGTTTTTGTTTTGTTTTTAAAGGGGTGGGCAGTTCTTAGTCTTCTTTCAGAAGTCTATCCCTTATAAGTCCTCCACCCTGCCATCTTAAAAGCCCCCATAACATGCCAACATTGCTCCTGCCAGTAAAGGAGGACTGGAAGCAATGCCATTTTGTATTTCTAGAGCGCCCATCGCTGAGGTATCGAAGCACTGCTTATACAGTACTTCATCCAAGAATTTCAACCCACTTTACAAACATTAAGTCAGCTATAACATCCCTATGAGGTAGGCAAGCATCAGCTTCCCCTAATACGGGCACACAGTTGGTTCTGGATAGAACGCAGCAGCTTTTTAGGCCAGGAAGTTAAGGACATCTTATCTAACCCCCAACTGAAGGGTTATTTAGAATTAACAAAAGTTGAATTTCACCAGGACACTAAAGTTAAACACTCCTATTTTTATGCAAACCTCTACTGGCTCTTTAATGAGTCAGGAGAAAAACAGACATACAACAAATCTAGGCTACAGGAACATGCTTTCCAGGTATATTCCTCATAGAAGAGGAGAAATTCCCTGCCTACTTTCTGGCTGTTCAGGAGAAACTTCCCGTACTCAGAGCTGAAGGGAAGGTCACAGGCTCTAAAGAAGACAGACAGCTTAAATAGGACATACAAATTTACTTTCAATACACTCATAACTGGTTAAGAGTTCATATTTATGCCACAGCCAATAAATCAAATCTTCAACTTCACAGTGATCGTTAATTCCATTCTGGGGCCTGGTTTAGTGATTATTACTCAGAGAGAAGAATGAATCACCACCACTACTAAGTTGCAGGATTTAAAAGATCATTTTGGTTAGAGATGGAGAAATCCCATATGCAATTATTGACCCAGCTGGAACCTGTGTAGCCTTTGAGATCTGAGCTGGTCTCACAAAACAAGGAGGTAAAGATGCACATTCTGCATGAATTCACTGGGTGAATCGTCCATTGACATGAATTAAAGGTCTACACGCAACAGGTATACACAGCATGGATTGTGGAGGAGAACTTTGCCCTCTTCAGCTAGACAAGCAGAACTTTCCTTTAAAGCACACTGAGTAACGTTGTCACAAGTTTTGTAAGCCAGTTGTGTAAGAGCTCTGAATATTTTGGTTCTAATGATCCCACGGGACCTCCAGCTTTTTCCATTTCTAGCCCAATCATTTTTTTTTTAAAATGACAAAGTACTGAGTTAAAAAGAACAAAATGGAACAGTTGTTTCACTAATATATTATTAACAGTTACATCTCTATATGAATGAAGTTCACATTTACAACACTTGATGGTTCAGATAGTCAGAAATGGCCCAGCATAGTCTAACAGAAAACCAAGTGGAGGGGGGAAAAAAGATTAGCATAAATTATTTTTAGCTTTGTTTTTACCTTCCGCCGAAGTTGCACCAACAGGCTTAAAGTCTCTTGAGCTGAGCACTTCCTTATGTTTTTCCGGTCACTATTTCTTTTCTGTTAAAACCAGTTGAGTCTTGTAATCTTCCTGGCTTTCCTGCAAAGAAAAGGGGGTAATGTTTTTATTTTAAAATTTCAGCTTTTTGTTAAAACATTTGCTTACATGCTTCAAATAAGGGCAGAGCTGCACTTGAGAGAGTGTCTTTCACTTCCTTATAATCAGAGGTACTGTAGAAATCTGCCAGTTTACATTAAGAGCAGCTAGGGGGTGGGGCTGATGGTGCCCATGTGACTTTCCTGAAAAATATACAATTTACAATAGGGAAGCAAAAAGTCTGTGGCAGCTACCGTTCCCTGGGGCAAACATTTGCACCCTTATCTGATTCAAGGCCATTTCTCATCAATTTAGGTCAGATTGCACCACCATGTTGATAAAGTACTTTTCTTTTCATAATAATTCGGGGGATACTCCTACAAATTAAGAAAAATATGAAATAAATAATTTTTTTCTTTTTCACTTGTATTTACTCAAAGGCCACAGAAGATACTGATCACTCACTCACATGATGCTCTTAACAGTGACACCATATTTCTTTACAGGCCTGGTGGTCTACACTGCTGCTATAGCTCTCAGCCCAAAGTTCTAACCCAGTTTTCAGATGTGGTTAGGTCCCCTGGACACAGAACTGTTTAACTGTGGTTATCATCAGGTCAGGGATCTGTTGTGTTGTAACTGGGCCCCTTTACTGAAGAGTAAATGTGGGCCTAGTGCTTGTGAAAGGTGCTAGCTTGACAGCCAAGGAGAGTGAAGTCCTGCATTTATCCACAGGACAGGTACAGTGGCATTATAAGCTTTTCCTGCAGCTTTTGTGCCTCAGTTCAGATGGGTGGGGGGAGCTTTTAGGAGGAAGAGCGATTGCAGACTGAATTGCTCAGTGGAGACTGTAGAATTTCTAACCCTCCAGGACTGGTCTGGAGTTTCCCGGAATTGACATAAATTTCCCAGTGACTATTGAAAGCAATTTGGGAAATTTTAATAGGATATTTTAAGAAAGTGACATCATATGTTGGGGGAAAAGATCTCCCAGAATAACTTTAGGTAGAGTTGGCAACCCTATGAGACTGTCATAAGGAAGCCAGTTCTGAGGGTAGATTTTTGTGTAGTGGTGTCTTGGGTAATAGAGACTGGACTATAAACCCCACCAACTCATTTCACGTGTTTCAAGGGAATAAAAACAGCTGTTGGGAGATAAACGGGAGTACATTTTAAAATGCTGCTTTGCATTTATACTGAATAGCAACTTCCAATTACAGATCTCAAAGCCCTTTACAAACATTCATTAAGTAGGTTACACAATGTGCGTTGTAAATATTTTACATATAGGGAAACTAAGGCACGGAGGATAGATCAATTGACTAAGGTCACAAAGTAAGTCAGAGCTTGTCTATGCTTCAAACACCACAGCTGCAGCAGTGGCTGTGTAGGGCCTCAGTGTAGACACTACCTAGGTTGATGGGAGGAGTTCTTCCATTGGCATGGGTAATCCACTTCCTTCAGAGGTGGTAGCAGTAATGCTGTGTGCACAGGGATTTAGGTTGACTTAACACTGCTCAAGGGTGTGGATTTTTCACACCCTGACTGAGGTAGTTAAACTGACCTAATTTTTTTTAGTACAGGCCTGGCCTCAGCAACAGATCTGAGAATAGAACCTACTTAACCTGACTTCTGCTCCTCTAATGACTTCATTAACCTGCTTCCCTAAGAAATGAAACTCACCATTTTTTAACCCTGCAATCTGTCTTAATCAGACTTTATACCACTGCAAGACAAGAACATTCATGTGTCAACATGTTCAGTAAGCTGTGCTAGCAAAACATTGCATATGCTGTGGCTATTATAACCTGTTGACTGCATCTGTCTCAGGGCCAGCCTCTGCTTTTTGGATCATATGTTGCCATAATTACATGGGATTTGTCTAAAATACTTAAAATGCCCCTCATCACCATCATTTGAGCACCTCACAGTGGGGTCTTTTTTCCTTCAGTCTAAGAATTTGGCCTTTTCCACATTGCTCTTAACAATAAAACTGAATCTCTCCCTCAACACACACTTACAACAGACTCACTTTGAACTTCTTGTCCACATTCTCTCTCCCTCCGTTCTTATTCCTCAGACTGAAATCAGACTAAATTCTTTGTAGACTTTCCATCTTGCTTCTCTTGTGCCAGGTAGCTACCCACCCTCCTGCCCTTTACCTTGGTGTATGCCTCTTGGGTTCCTTGCATTTTCTGTTTGCCTTCTACTTGAGCTGACTGCTTTGCTCCAGCTGGTACTGCCCCATTCTTAAATGTATCCTGTATCTTCAGCTCAGCCAGCCAAAGAACTCCTGAGGCTGCCTCACCCACAAATCTTTAAAAGGGAGCAGCTGGTATAAATCAGGGTAGCTCTGTTCAGTTCTTGTGTTTCTCTTGGTGCTTAACTTGATTTGCTAGGACTGCAAGGGAATGTTTACTTGTATAAAAACAGGTTTCTGTTGCCATTAAAAAAAAAAAAGGCCTGAAAATATTCTGTTGATGTGTTTTTGTTTATACATTTCATACACAAAGAGGGTTTTTTGTGGTAGCTTGGGGGAGTTTGAGTGCGGGAGCCTCTTCTATAACTAATGGTATTAGATAAGTGTCCTCCTTTGTCAAGGGCGAGGTTTGGAAGCACTGGCTGGGCTGTAGCCCATGGAGGTTGTTAGGTGAGAGGGGGGTTTCTCCTTGGTCAGGGGTTATTCAGATCCTTGGGCAGCTTAAGGTGAGGATGAAATCTGGCTAGTGTCCTTAGTTGGGGTGGTGTCAGGATGACTTTTCCAGCAGCTAGCAGAGGATCAAAGTCTGTATAATTCCTTCACCTAAGTGAAATGTTTGCCTAAGAAAAATTCAGTTAAAGCCACACCTGGTGAACTCATAACAAAACTCAGTTGACAGTGAGCTCATAAAACAGTGGCAGGTTGTTTCAAATTGTTGCAATACACAAGATGCTAGTTCAGTTATAGTGAAGTCCTGCTTAGCTTGAAACGAAATCACGCCGTGAAAATAATTTTACTTTAAAAATGGTCCATTCTATACAATTAAAGACACAAAAACCTTTGTCTGAGGACAATAGAAAAGTTGTACAGATAGAACAATTCTGGTTAGGGCGGTGATATCTTCACTGAAATAGTTATATGAGCATAAAATCCTAGTGTGGACAAAGTTATAAAGGTGACTTATAGCAGTATAGCTGTATCCACACTAGCTTTGTTTGGTTAGTTTTTTGGTTTGTTTTGCTGTTTTAACTATACCACTCTACCTGCGTAATTAATGTAGCAAAAAACAAAACACCCATCAAACAAACCAAAACCCAAAATCACATATCAACTATACAACCGTGGCACAAAACAAACCACCCTAAGTGGAGGGTGTTTGCCCCCTTACTAACAGTCAGTGGGGTGTTTTGGTTGGCTAGCTCCCAGTATTAAAAGGGGAAGGATCTATAGGAAATCAGGACCCTGAGACTGACAGTCCCCAGGAACAATGGGGAGAAGCCAATGCTCCAGGTCTGCCTGAATGACAGGGCATGCAGGCTAATCAGGGAATCAGGAGAGGTCCCATCCTCTGTGTGAGCTGGAATTGCCTGGGTCAGACAGTGGGGCCAAGCTAAGGAGAAAGCAGGGGCCTGAGCTGAGCTGGGGAGCAGAGCTGTGCCAGATCCAGAGGGACCAGAAAAGCAGCCCAGAGAGAGCAGACCCTGTCCTGGGAGCAGAGCTGCAGCCCCAAAGCCAGAGGCACAGCCCAGAGAGAGCAGACTTGCCCTGGGAGCAGAGCTGCAGCAACCAGAGCCAGAGGGGCCAGAAAAGCAGCCCTGGGAGCAGAGTCACAGAAGCAGCCTGCAGAGCAGACCTGTCCTGGGAGCAGAGCTGCAGCAACCAGAGGCAAAGGGGCCAAAGAAGCAGCCCAGGGAGCTGGAGGCAGAGCAGCAGCAGCAGTGCTGAGACAGAGTGGTGCAGCTGGGGCTGGAGCAGTGCGGAGCTGGGTGCGGTGAGCAGCTGGGGAGAGCAAGGGGGACCCTGGGCAGCGGGCCCAGCACAGGGAGACACCTCAGCCAAGAGGCTCTGCAGGCCAGGCTTGGATCTAACCCCGACAGGGCGGGGGCGACACTGGGAAGAAGGGTCCTACCACTGAGAGCCTGAGAGCGTGTGGCCACCACCAGAGCAAATGTCTGACCCACAGCATCCCCGCAGCACAGCCAGGGCCTGAGAAGAAGGCCTGGGACTTACAAGGAACAGACTGTGAACTGCCCTGACGTTCCAGAGACCCTGTTTGTGACGTTCCCTGCCACAGAGCGGGGTGATGTGTTTCCTTTCACCTTTCCCATTTTTCCTTATTCTTCTTAAAATTAATTGTTGATTAAATAACTTGCATTTGCTTTAAATTGTATGTAATGGTCAGTGGGTCAGAGACGTGCCCAGTGCAGAGAGAGTACCCCGGAGTGGGGACACCCTAGCTCCTGTCCTAGGTGACCACAGCAGGGTTGGGGGTCGAGCCCCCCAGGAACCCTGGGCCCAGCCTTGTTGGGGTTACAAGGACTCTGCCAGACAGGAGAGTGGAAGGAGAGCCCTCAAGGGCAGGGAGGCCACTGGGTAAAGGAAGTGGGAGCGAGGACTCAGATCCTTTCGCTAGCCCGCTTCACCGGGGTAGTGCAGAAGCCAGGAAAGTTCCCCACAAGAGCGGGACTATTCCCCCGCTTACATAAGGTGGACCAGGCCTCAGTTTTACAGTCTGATAGAAACAGATCAGCAATAGATTTGGATTAGCTGTGACACCTGTTGGGCAGATAGTTCTAATCCCCGTGTCCCGCAGACCCTACTTCCGAGGGTATCAGTTACGTAATTGCTGCTATTTCATCACTTCCTACTCACGTTTTCTGGCTCCAAGGCCGACGAGCAGACAACCAAAAGTTTCATATTAAAAATAAAAGCCTCTCCCTTCATAAATAGCTAACATAAATTAACCAATAGCCATATCCCCCTGACAGCCAAACTCATAAGACAAGAATGAGATTCAGTCAGCCATTGGGAAAGAATGAAACTGATCAGACATTCAGTAGAGCATCAAGAAATATTGCAATTTTATAGATGTGAGTAACACGGAGGAGGGAGAATATTTTATACCCGTGATCACAATGACTCTACTTGGC